AGCCGTCATCTGATGGCTGGCTCCAGCCACTTGCACAGACAGATCAGCGTCCCTGATTACCAGGTAACCAGGGACGCTGATCTCCAGACAGCCCAACTGTCCTGGACGCTTCGGGAGTCTCCCGCTATTGGATAGCGGCTCCCGGCCACCCGGAGAGAAACACTTTCTCCCGGAAAGCTTTACTCTACTCGACCCCTTTTTTTTTTTTCTGACATGAGAGCCGTTTGCTGCCATCAGAATAAAAAACTTTCCCTTACTCTGCCTTATCTATCATCTGTCACATTAAAACTTGTATGGTAGGTTTGAACCTGACTTTTTTACATCAGAACTTTTTGCTCTCTTACATCATAGGATGGGGTTCTCAGACCACCTAAATACCATCAAAAGGGAATGGGGTAAACTGGTACACAACAGCAATACCTAGATATAAAAGCACTAAGTACATAGGCAGTGTTCCCTATAGGCATCTCAGGGTTTAGCTTTCAAGGTTGACTAGATTATCTCTTTAGTAAGGCCGACCAAAGAACAGTGATGATGCTGCAGAATGCTGCAATCTATAGGAACAAATCAAAGTTCAGTTTACTGCAATATCAGTGAAAAATCCTTTCTGATTGGTCTCTACTGTTTACTTCGTTTTGCAACTTACTGTTTGTCTAATTAAATAAGCATTCTTGTTTTACTGAAGCATTTTCCACACACAAATTAGCTACAGTGAGGAAATTCAATCTTTCGTTCTGGAATCGATTCGCTTCTAAACGATCCAGTGGTCTGAGTCATCATTAACTGCGATTGCTTCCTAATGTTTAGTTTTCTTGGCTACCACAAAACATTTAATGAATCTGCAATTACTACCATTTGTTACATTAGCTCCCCGCTAGTCATTCAGAATCAATTGCAGGGTAATGCAGTAGAGGAAAATATTTAAGGCTGCACAGGTCAACGTTAAGAGTGCAGCCACCACTTAAAGCACGCATCAAGGAAGCTCCGAGAGGAAATTAGAGCAAGATATTACTTATAATTTAGGAAACCTGATTCTGCCGGACACATCCTGAATAGGCCTATTTATAAAAAGCATACTTCAGAGGAAGTGGATGCATTCTGTGGATACAAAAATGACTGAATATCAATTGTAACAAGGACAGAGGATTACATATTAATGAAAATTGGTGTTTAAGAAGCAATTTGCCGTGATTACTGTGCAATAATAATTTGAAGTAGGGTGGCAGGCTAAGAAATTGGTTTAATGGCCAGGAACTGATGTTTATGTTCATCTTAATATCATGGCAATAAAAATTTCAAAATAATAAAAGCAACCCTGCCATGTACAAACTTGCCAGACAAGTTTTCAACCTTATTCACTATACAGCGCAAAAAGCTAAGTGCAACCTAACAACCAATTGGAATTCACTTCAATTTGGCACAGAAAAAGTCTGGTTGAAACAGCTACAATGCTTTGCTTTTAGAACTTTTGCTTGTTGTAGTATTTTAAGCTCACTATGTAAGCATGGTAAATATTTATAGGGTACATCCTATCCAGAAACTAATTCAGCACAAAGAAATATCACATGGCATTATTTAATACTGTAGAGCAAAGAGCAATGGCATTTTGCAAACTGCAGTAACCCAAAACTCGCAGATTTCAAGTTACTGTAACATTGTTTTTGCTTTATTAGGTAAGGTTGAGGCAGCCCCAGTTAATAAAACTGAGAAAATCTGAAAAAAGACTCTTTCATCTCCACCTGTATCTGGATAGAGATTATTTAGCTTCCCAAGGATCTGACCCAGAACACTCTGACTGAGCATTTCAATTATTCAGAGTCTGACGACAAATAGACCGGAATGTAAAATATTTGCTTTCCTTTAAGTAAGGGTCTTTTTTCTTGCTGGCTAACTTCTAGGACATGAATGTGATCCGTGGCCAATCTTAATTTGCTGGCCGCTGTAACCAGACACATGCAGTTAGCGGATGCCCACTGTATAGAAAAGCTGCTGACTCTTCTATGAAAAGGAAGTCACTGCTGCCATTAACATTGGGCATGCACTCAATACGTAAATATAGTAATAGGCATAACAGGCAAGTGCCTAGGAGCATCACATGATAACAGGCAGCATTTTCTCTGTACATGTTTCATATTGACATCTTATTACAGTAGGTGCTTAGCTACTGTAGGGCAGGGGTAGGTGACCTCCAGCCCTCCAGCTGACAAACTCAACTATAAATCCCATTAGGCATTGCAAGACTCTAACAACCACAGGCATGACTCCCACAAGCAGATGCATGATAGGATTAGTAGTTTTACCACAGATGGAGAGCCAGAATTTACTTACCCTGCTGTAGGTAGGAAGCAGAGTTTAAGGGTCTTAGAGCTCGTAAGGTCATGGGTCCTTAACATACCCACTAGAATTATTTGATCCACCAGTTATCTTTAAATTTTTGAGAGAAAATCAGCCTAACTTGTTCATTTCCCTACTCCTGCTTTTTCAATAAAGCTGAACTGTAGCATCCTCAAAACGTTTGCCTTGGCTTGTTGTACTAAATATTATTACCACTCCATTCACCTGTCAGGAGCCAATAAAATACCCATTACTTCAATATGTAGAATGATATGATTTACTTAAGATAACAGCATTAGACCAATCACCGAGCACCAGCACTGTCACTTGCGGTGAGTCCGTTGCCTCATAGCATGTAAGCTACAACTTGAGCCACTCACAGTTTATACAGAACTACTTTTCTTGCAGCAAAACATAAAGAAGGTGAGTATGCAGTGTTGGGAGTTGAGGTATTGCTCAGTAGGGCAAAGAAGCAGTTTCACTATAATGTCTGTTGGAGTATTAAGTTGCGGTATTAGATATACTAGGTCTGATTTTCACAAACTGAGGTGAGTTGAACCTATGTTCACATTAAAAAGTTAAGTAAAATTTGAAAATAAGAATCACATGATTGGATGCTTGAATTCACTTCACTTTACTAGGCATAGGCTCATTTATAACATTAAACTCCATTTCATAAAGTAATAAATCATGGCCACTAAGTAGACCATTTTATAACAAATTAGTAACCCAAGTGGCTTTGTATAAGGTTTTGTATGAAGGGAAAGGGGGAAGGGGGGGGGGGACTTTTGGGTGCATGGTTCTCTGACACAACCTGCAAACAATATTTGGTTTGAAAGTGTTCTAATGCGGAATCAAATATTGTCTACTCTAATCATTGTAAATGTAGTCCTTAGAACAATGGAATCCCTGTATTAGATCTGCAGTAAATGACTGGAATTTCAGTTTAGTCTCTTTGGTAACAAAATATTAGGCTATTGTAGTCACCTAAATAAAAATAAAATAACTGTGGCAGAAGAAATTGCATGCACACTCAAGATCCCGTAATTAAATATCAGTGTTTTTATGGGTGTGATTCCCGTATAACCCTTTGGTTTCACGTTCTTGCCAAAATAGCACTTTAGTTAATCTAACTCATAAAGGAAATCATCAAAATATATCTTTTATA